TGTTTTATTTTGACCGCGATCTGGCGGGAAAGGTTTTTCCCTGCATCTTGTGTGCACTCGCGATATTTTGGCGTAACCGTAAACTTAACCATCATCATCGCGAGAGAGGATCGTTGAGACAAGAAAGACCGTTGGCGAAAGTTGGAGGAGGTAATCAGAAAACATTGTCATCTAACTGTGAAGCTGTTAATAAATGTCATCAATTGCTAGTCCATGAGCGATATTGTGGTAACGTTGATAGTTAATTTGTTATTTAGTGTTATTTTTTATCTCACTTAAAAAGCCGAATGAGCCGACGAACATGCTAAAGCTAACGTAGTTAACTAGCTAGTCTGTGTAACTGCCAGTTAGGGAGATGGTTCAAATATAGGATATCAGGATTGAAAACTAAATGACGGTAGCATTACCCTGAAAAAGTTAAACGAAAAGTGTGCTACCCTAGGCGCTTATATGTCAGTAATACCAGCCCCTTTTACAAAGGAATGTTGCGCCGTTATTCGGCTGCGTCACGTAAATTAGCTACCAAGCTAGCTGCCATGCGGAGCTGACTGCCACTGTGGTTTTCGCTCGGCAGTTAATGTTATGTGACGGGTGCCGCTCTGCCAGTGTCGGTAGTCGCACTCTCTGTCTCTCCGCTAGCTCTCCCTGCTCAGCATATAGTTATGTTCGGCTCTGTGTTACTGCACCCCCGGGCCAGTAACCTACATGCTGCCTGCACTGCAGTGACAAAGAGCCGGCTGAAAATCGGCAACGTTTCCTTAATATTCCTCGATTTTAAATATTGATGTCCACGCATTTTCAGTAATAATGTTGTCAGGCACTTAATAATAATACGTGTGCCTGTCAGTGGCAAAAACAAGCACTTCAACTTTGAGTAATATAGAATAATGTAACAATTCAGTAGGGATGGGTACCGAGCCCCGGTTTTAATCAAAGGAGTCCCGGGAATTAATTATTAAATGCGTCTATGATTATTTTGAGTATTTTCGATCCTTCCAATCTAGCGTCTGTGTGCGAGGGGGCGGGGCAGTTTACACACGCGGCTGCTACATGCAGCACACACACACACACACACACACACACACACACACACACACACACACACACACACACACACACACACACACACACACACACACACACACACACACACACACACACACACACACACACGGCAGAGAGCAATTTGTCTAAACATCTTGCAAAAGTACACCACACTCTACTATACTTTTTTTTTAGTAGCTCTGTAGCCCCCTCCACGAGTAACGTTTCCACGTCAGGTATGTTATGTATGCTAGCAGCAACACACGGAGTTAACACAATTATACAAACATGGGTTAATGATTAGAGGTAACTGAGTTATTTAGTTTGTTAAAGTTTCAGCTACAATAAAACAACCATGGTGCTGTTTCTTTTGATGTGAAATATTATTTATATATTTTAAATAAAAAGCAATGTTAATTCTGTTTACAGTTCTGTCATCACATTATTTAATGTGATTTGTCAATTCAGTTTTAAAGCTTAGCACTTAGGCTGGATCCATGTCTTTTAAATTGAAGAACTCTGTTGAATTGGTTTGGATATAACTAAGTAATTCGTCAACTTCTGTCTGATAAGGGGACTGATAAGGTTCGGTGTAAAAAAAAGCAGATGTAATGATGAGTCTTAATTTACAGCAATATTGCGAGTTCTCTGTGTAACTTAACTTCCATGTATGTTGATTGGTCTCTCTCAATTTTTCACAGCAATTCGTGACTGCAAAAGTTCCTGTGGCTGCTGTCCGACCGCAAGAGTGTCCTGTCTAACCGTACCTGTGTCTGCAATCCAACTTCATCAGTGACTGCAAGTAAAAGGTGTCATCTGCCATTCTCAAGTTCATGATTGAAATGTTTTTTTTATTTTTTGCTGGTGATTTAGTTTTGGTGGGCAAATGTGGAGGTGTAAGGAATCATATAAATAAATACATGATTTATGCAATTGCATGTCTTAAACGGACTGAACTGCTAAATCAAAACTGTGAACAGTGACATCAAAATAGCCAATCTGAGTTTTGTGGGTTTTGTTTTTTTGTTGTAGGTGAATGCAGAATTTAAGAGAATCACAACAATTAATTTGCAATCCAAGTTCTTCTCTTCGCTGGATATTCACTCTACAAGCCTAATCGACGTGTATACCAAGAAAGGTGGAGTTCAAGGGAAGAAGATCAAAAGCATCATGCTTCCCATAACCCAGGTATGAAAACAATGTAAAGGTGACAAATAAACTGTAGGAGCTGTACAAAGTCTAGGATGTTCCGTGAATAGCATAGCACCCGGAGCATTATGTTTTCGATATTTTTTTGACACTTAGCACCACATCCATTCCCCCAGTGGGGGTCATTGTATCAGAGTGAGCGGCATACTATTATGAAGGCCTAAAATAACGCACTACAAAGCTGTCCCTGACAGCAGTCTTTCATGGAATTGGCAGATGTTCCTACCCCAATGGTCACTGAGTGTACTGTAGGGCTGCAGCTATCAATTATTTTAGTAATCGAGTATTCTATCAATTATTCCATTGATTAATCGAGTAATTGGAAACAGATTACCTTTTTAAAGCAAAAGTATTTCTTCAATAAAAAGCCATTTTAAATATTCAAAATAAGACAGGTCTCCTCAAATGAACAACTAATTGTTTTCCTTTTTTAGAAAAATGTATTGCTTAAATTGCATAGTATATTATCTGTCCAAACTAAACCCATTTAATTAAAGTGCATCAAAGTGCAATATTACATTCAGGGTTTTAAAGAAAACATTTGTGAAACAGTGAAACCCAGTCTGCTTGTTGTTCTTAATGGGCTTTTTTATTGCATCATTCTCTGATCTGCATAGACTGACAGCATTGACGTGAGACGTGAATGCATCTTCAAAGGTCTTTGTGTCTACTTCAACGAAGATCCAGAGAAGCTGGTGAAGGAATACATGGTATGTTGATGTACCTTTTTTATCTTCACAAAGAGGAGGATGATCATAGTTGGAATGGATTGTGTTTCCTCTAAAACTAACCCTTAGGGAAATGTTGCCTTTACATTTTGATGATTTTGGATGTGTTAATGCTTTTTGGAAATAGTGTTTTTTGTTCTTTCTTTTTTTTCAATTTGGAAAACCCAAACTACATAAAGCTCAATATGACACATTATAGAAATGGGACGTAATGCACATCCGTGAAAATCACTCTCCTTCTTATTTGTTTTTTCACAGAGCATCGACAACAGCAGTCAAACGGCAATGGCAGAGACGGTCTTCGGAATATTTGTCATTCGACACGAAGGTGCAGAGCCTGGGGATGACCCTGAGAACGTTGGGATCATTCTGGAGGGGGTCGAAGTGCTGGATGAGTTGGGAAACGTATCTTTTGCAGTGGTGATGATGTTTGCTCTCGTGTATGCTCTAAACTTGAGCTACCCTCCAGAGCTGAAGTTTACATTTGAAGCACTGCAGAAAATTATGATGGAGCTAGATGGAAACAGACTATCCACAAAAGGACAAGTCCTCAAAACATTGCTTTCCCGTGCCTAATGTCACTGTTTGGGATCGCCTCATGTTCCAAACACGCAGCCATCAGAGATTCGGTGACTCACCTCTTTGACAGAAATGTTGATTATATGCAAGAAGTATAAAAGTAGTTTGGTCTACTGTTGAAACTCAAGTTTGTTATACTGTTCACCCTAAAGTTGAAACATTTTAATATTTGGGAAGAAACTTTATTTTTTTAAGCATCTGTCAGTGTAAAGCATTGTTTATCTTTGCCTATTTTGTGAAATATATATTCACTGTTATATTTAATAACATCTGTCAGTGTAAAGCATTGTATCTTTGCCTATTTTGTGAAATATATATTCACTGTTATATTTAATAACAGTGAAACCCAGTCTGCTTGTTGGTTGAGATGGTGTTCTTAATGGGCTTTTTTTATTGCATGTTCTCTAATCTGCATACTTAGACTGACAGCATTGACGTGAGACGCGAATGCATCATCGTATTATATTTCATATAATATTTGGGAAGAAACTTTATTTTTTCAAGCATCTGCCAGTGTACAGCATTGTTTCTCTTTGCCTATTTTGTAAAATACAATTTTATTTCAACATCTCGCGTTTGTGTTATGTTTCCACCCTTGAAGCTCACTAGACTAGACTGTTGAAATTCTGGTTACTGTTCACTCTAAACGTTTTAAATGTGTAAACACTCAAAAGTTATTCTTTGAATTAACTTGATTAAATCATGGACAGTATTTCCACATGATGAAATGGCTTTCTTTCAGCTTTAAGCAATTACGTTGACCCAACCCAAGTAAATTAAGTTGGTAACGAACCTTATAAATAAGTAGTATCAATCCTAATAGATTACGTTGACCCAACCCAAGTAAATTAAATTGGTAACAAACCTTATAAATAAGTAGTATCAATCCTAATAGATTACGTTGACCCAACCCAAGTAAATCAAGTTGGACCAATCAAATTGCTTAATCTTGAAAGAAAGTGATTTAATCATGTGGAAATATTGTCCATGATTTAATTACGTTCATTCAAAGAGTTATTTTTTTGAGTGAATAAGCTTTCGGCACATTTGGGTACATCTGGTTCCATCAGTGCCATTTGACCTTTTTCAGGTACCAGACTATAAAAATGGTGTATTACATTGAATTATCACCATAGGTATTCATTCCATCCAAAGAAAAAAAATTAAAATAAAAAAAATTAATAAATATATATATTTTTTAATTTGTGAAAAAAAAAGGACCCGCCGACGGGATCTTTGGGGCTTAACAGGTTCCAGAGGGCATTGTTTCTTTCGTATTGTTTATTACATTATGTACATTACAAACTCCAATTATTTTCTGTAACTTTATAAAATAAATCAAGAGCCAGACCTCGATTCTGCGTTGCGCATGAAGTTTATTATGCAATTATATTACAAATCATTTCATTAAAAGCTTAAAAAGTATGATTAACACTAATACCATATTGGAAATAAAGCTTTCACTGCTAATTTATTGTTGAATTTTCTGCAGATGATGATTCTGTTGCACTGATCTCTGGGTTTAGAGAAGAGGATATTTTCTTCATAACTCACTGCAAAAAGAAAACAAATACACTTTTTACAAATGTGTGGATCCACCAGAACTCACATTGTTGTATTCAGAAATGTCTTTCGTATGTGGATTGATTAATCTGTACAGTTTAATAATAATCCCAAAAATAAAAGGAATGTAAAAATGTAGTATTTTTATGACATTGAGTCCAACTGTATCCTACTCACCAGGTAGGGAAGTCCTGTGCAGAAAACGAGGCCATATACTCCTGTATCATAAACTGTGAGTAGCCCATGGTGTCTGTGAAGGCTATGAATCTGTCACATGCTCCACACAAGTTGTCCACTATGCTGGCACTCACAGTAACAATGAGCTCCTGGGAATTGCTGTAAGACAGCTGGAAGTGGGACATCTGCTCGATAATCACCGTTTTCTCATCACGTCTCACAAAGATATTATTTCCTGGCAGGCTGGGGTCATTAACCTTTTTACCACTGACCTGTAAACAGCATGAGATTGATATTGTTTATTTTTAATGAGAGGTTCAGATATCGGGGACATCTCGTATAAGCGCAAATAACATTTGACAATTTGCTAAATAGGATCACTCACTTTATTGAGGAGAGTTAGATGAGAAAATCAACCCAGCCTTATCTTTGTGTTTAATATGAGGCTGGAGCTAGGAGATGGTTAGCTTAGCATACCATAAAGACCTAAAACAGGAGGAATCATCTAGCCTGGTTCCAACAAAATGTTACTAAATCTGCCTACCAGCACCACGAAAGCTCTTTAATTAAAACATTTTATCTAGTTTGTTAAGTCTGTATAAAGTGTGCAGGACTATTAATTGGCAGCAGGGAGCTTTGATCTCCAAGTCTCTGCTACCTCAAAGATACAAACAGCCTCCAGAATGACCCTGCTCCCAACTGCACAAAACCCTGGTACCAATCTTTCTCATGTAACTCTCAACAGGAAAGCTAATTCCCTAATCATTTTTGAAACATTTAGAAATACCAACCCAGGTCTCCTGTCTGTCAGTGACGGTGATACTCAGCTCATTGAAGAAGACATAAACGGCGACCACGCTCCTCATTCCGGTCAGAGGGCACTCTTGGAGCTTGGCCACAACTCTGAACCAGTCGGCAGCTGATTCATTACAGTGTGTGATGATCTCATAAGCTCCCATGACAGAGATAGTGCCGCTGGTGCCACTGAAGAGCGTGATGAAGCCTCCCGTCTCTATCCGACACTCCTTGGGACGGCAGGCAAGGACACCGTTGTTGAGCTGGCATTTCTCCGTAACACCGCATGAAAACTGTTCACACTCGACTTCACCAGATGTTGTACAGTTGCAGATCTGCTGGCAGTCGTCAGATACCACAGTCTCGCCAATCTAAAGAAGAGAGTAAAGCAGAAACAGTCTGAGCATTGTGCAACCTAATGTAGTTGCAAATGACATTTCAATGCTATGTCAAGTGTCTTCTTATTTTTAGTACATTGGATGGACAGTGCGTGAAATACTAAAGAGATTATTTTTCATAATCAAATAACTGTATGTATACCTGTACATATTTTTATAGTGTAAACATCATCATGCAATGTTTGTATAGGTATAGATAAATGAAGGGTATGGCTGAGATGAGTCCATTACCTGCTAATTGAACATCATTTCATTTTAATTTGCCAGTGTATATCAATGCATTTCCAGAGAATGTAACTTTGACAGAAAAAATGTCAATCAACCAACTATATTTGTCACTTGAGTTTAAATTTGGGATGCAATCTCATTATTGGGGCCAAACAAGGCATTTTTAACCTGATCAGTGTGGGGTATATTGAGCTATTGAGTCTGATCCATTCCTGTTTAACATCAGCTACCACACACGTGTTTCTTATTTAAGACCAATTCAGACCAATGTGACAGGTGCTTAGCTTAGTGTAGAGACATGTAACAGGCGTAAACTACCATTTCTGCCAATGTCTGCCTGGAAAGCAGGTATTAAACCTTAAGACATACAGCTTTCTTTGGAAACTTCACAGTGGGATACCTTACCTTGTAGGTACGTCCATTGTGGTAACAACTGCATTCGTCCAGGGCAACGCAGCCTGTCCCATTGAAGTAGTGTCCTTCATTACAGGCGCAGCCTTCAGCACAAGTGGCGAGGCAGCTGATGGTGTCGGTGAGACCAGGACACGGAGAGCCACAGGTTTCAGAGCAGATCTGGTAGTGACTGTTTGCAGGACACGTAATAGCTACAAAAGAAAGCATTTAGGATTAACTGAAGCCACAAAAGCATGCCAGTAAATTCATGGTGTGTAAAGAGAAAACTAGACAACTTTTTAAGATTTTTAAATCTCTTTTCTTGGACTCAAGGCTAGTTTTACAAATATAAAACCTCAATGGATTAGAAAATCATGTTATAAAGAGTTACATTTTACCTTGTTGCATTTAAAAGTGATGGTCTATGCGAACCTTTAGCATATGAGTTTCATTTACATACAGTCAGCAGTACTCACGGCAGAAATCAGGCGTCCTCCAGTTGTCAATCTTTACTCCGATGATCTGACAGTCAGTCACGTACGATGAGATACTGTTGCAGAGAACGTCTTTGCGTCCCTGAGACATACAGACGTCATAGACACAATCTCTGTAGTAAGACTCAGGATTTATTTGGCTGTGGCAGGCAGCAAAGGGACCAGTAGGATTTGTGATACTTTCACAATTTTTCTCAAAGATTTTTTTTAGTGTGGCGTCACATTTAGGGCACTGGTCTCCACTGCAGCCATCCTCACAGACCACCCCCTGCACAGCCACCTTCCATGCTGCTCCAAAGGTCTGGAGGTCCTTGGTAATTTTTCCGTTGGGTAGTTCTAACGCATTTGGCTCGCTGTCATTAAAATTGCCACACAGACCACAGGTTTTGCCCTTGTAGTTGCCAGGAACAGTGACAGTGACTTTGTAGATCATATCGTAAGTCACTTTCAGTCCGAAATCAGTTACAATAGCATAGTGAAAGCCCTCTTGGAAGACTTCTACTTGTCCATCATTGAGGTTAAGAGGAATGGTTAACAAGGTGCCATTCACCTGAAGAGGACAAAAAAAGGATCAGCTGTGTTATTTTATAGGTTTCGTTTGAGCAAATTATGTTGTTATTGAGAAATAAGTATACTTTATTTTATTTTTAAAAGTCTGTAATTAATCAATAGAGGACAACATATTCTTCAACACTAACCATGATCGTTCTGAGTTGATTCATTCGGAGGACTAGAGTGGTGTCGTACACCTTCACAGCAACAAGCTTGGCTACAGCCAAATTTGGCGTATCTGTCATTGTCCAATTCTCATTCTCTACAACCACAGAGAAGGCTTTGAGCCGTGAGCCCTCCAAGTGGCACGATCTAGCTGCGGTGTAGGTGCAGGTGCCTTGGAAGTTAAAGGTGTGGTTGGTAAAGGTGTTGTAATGTGGATCACCTGCGATTTGGCACGTTCCATTTCCCACTGGATGGCATGATCCAACATTGTTGGTCAGCACACAAGTCTCAAACAGCCCACAAGAGTGTTTCTCATGAAGCATCTAGTGTAACAGAGATATGTTTAGATCAGCTATAAGGTAAAGTGTTTTGAATAGCTAAATTCTTATTGGAAAAAACCCGCTGCCTAACCCCCAGCAACATACATAATTACATTACATGTTTTTTTCTTTTTTTAAGATGGTCAATATAGTTTGCTGATCGCCATAAAACCACCTTCATTCAAACTAAACCTCAACAAAATAAATACCTATTTAAAAAAAGGATATAAAGCTTACCGTGCCATTTTCACTGCAGGTGAACATTTGCTGACAATCTGATGACAGAAAACTCTGTCCCTGCTTATAGGTTTTGCCTTTGTACAGGCAGCCACACTGGTCAGAAGGCACACACTTGTAATCACTGAGTAGGAAGCCATCTTTGCACTCCCATCCTTCCTGGCAGGGCCTCTTGCAGGTAGAGGGAGCTAACCTGTTGTCACAGGTTGCATGGCAAACATTGCCACAGTGTTTATATTGGCTGTTGGTTGGCAATGTAATCTTAGATATGGGACAGAAGTCTGGTGCTCTCCACTGGGACACATTGACTCCTCTGCTTTGGCATTCAATGGTGTAACGGCGGAGATGGCTACACCAGTAGCCTTCTTTGCCATTGTAAAGGCACACATCATACACACAACTCTGAAAAACTATTTCAGGATCTATGGTGCCTTGGCATCCGCTGAAGGGGCCTTTGGGATTTCGTATTAAACCGCAGTATCTATCCGTCTCGTATTTGTCTTTCTGGGTGATGTCACAGCTGGGACAATCCTTGCTGTTCTTGCAGCCATCTACACAGCCTGGGATCTCGGCAACCCTCCAACTTTTACCCAGTTCCTCCGCAGACTCAGCCTGTGTGCCATTCTTCAACTGCAGGTCATCTTTGGGGTTGTGATTGTAATTGCCACACATACCGCACATTGCATCTTCATACGTACTTGGTACTTTGACATGAACTGTCAATTGCCAGTCATAGGAGACTAGCAGGCCAAAGTCAGTCTTTATCTCAGCAAAGTCACTAAACTGGTTCACAGTGAAATTGCGTTTATATTTGACAGGTAAGTGTGTAAGTTCTCCATTTATCTGCAAAACAAGATTGATACATTAAAAAAACTAAAATAGCAATCATCCTGTGATAAATGTGCTTAAGGGTCTCTCACCATGACAAAGCCTTTGTGTTTTCTTGAGACAATAATGGAAGTTCCATCAAATTTGACCTCCACCAGCTTTGCACCAGAGTCCACTCTTTTACCATAGGCATCATTCTGCACATAAACTTCAAAATGTGGCAGGGAAGGATCTTTCGAGCAGACCCCAGCCAGCTGATACACACAGTTGCCATGGAAGCTGTAATCATGCCCATCAAAGGTGTCGTAGTGAGGGCCACCAATCATGCTGCACTCAGCGAAAGTAATTGGGTCACATCCGATGAGGTCGTCAACCACCTTGCACTCATACCCCTTAGGACAACCTGGTTTCTCACAATCCACTTCCTTGGTAGTGCCGTTGCACGTGCACCTCTCTGTACAGTGGTCATCAGTGAAGACAGAAGCTCCAGACTCTATGTAGAGGCTCTTGTCTTTGTACAAGCAGCCACACTGGGCTTTACTGACACACTCTGTGCCGCTGAGCAGGAAGCCCTCGTCACAGACACACGTCTCCACACAGCTTTTGTTGCACTTTGCGGCTGCATCTGGGTTTTCACAGGTGGAAGGGCAGGCCTTTCCGCAGAACTCATAATGACTGTTCTCCGGGCATGAGGGTAGAGCTATTTCAGAAAAAATTGCATCATGTTACCATCACAGATTGTGGGTGAAACCGAAAAAATAAGAGACTTGTCAAATACTATGGTTACTCACGGCAATGGGCGAAGTGCCTCCAGTCGTAAATTTTCACGCCAGCCCTCTGACAGGCATCGGCGTACACCTGCAAGGTGTTACACAGGAAGTCCTTGAACCCATCACCCATGCACATATCAAACAAACAGATCTCATGAAGGACTTTGGGGTCAATGACAGCATTACAGTCACTGAGCGGTCCATCCATAGCGTGGCTTAGAATACCGCAGAACATCCTGGAAGTGATGCTGTGAATAAAGCTGTCATCATCACAATTTTCACACTTGCCCGAGCATTCGTCTTGACAATGAGCATCATCTGTCACATTAGGAACTCTCCAGCTCTTTCCCAGGGCCACTACATTGCTGCTCTGTGAGCCAGAAGGAGTCACCAAGTCATCCTCCTTTTTGCTGTTGAAGTTCCCACACAGGCCACACACCTTGCCGGACAAACTGCCCGGCACTGTGATGACAAGATACTGCTTCCAGTCATACTGCACGGTCAAGCCAAAGTCTGTCTCAACAATGACAGACATGCCGCTCTGTGATAACTTCAATTTCCCATTTCCCAGATTGATGGGGAGATTCCACAATGTGTGGTTCATCTAAAACATATTGAGAGACATTGTTTAATTCAATAAGTGATATTTTTTTCACAGACTCCTTGAGTAACAACAGTAGTCGTGTTTATTTAAAGACTGTACTCACCCTG